TCTTCATGTTTCCACTGAGGTTAACAAAGCAAGGGTTAATACTGCTTAACTTGATTAGGTGCTATGAAATAGTACTAATTAGTGGCAAAATAAATTTTCAGGTCCCAATTAATCCATATGGAAAAGCTAAGAAGATGGCTGAAGACATAATTTTGGATTTCTCAAAAAATTCAGACATGGCTGTTATGATCCTGAGGTTGGTAGTTAGTTTGCATTTGTGTTACTGAACCGATTATCTCATTTTGCTCCTTTCCCCTAGAATTTGATACCTGCCTCAATGATTTTGCCATCAACATAACATTTCCTCTTTTGTACTTCAGTTCCATTTTAATAAATTTACCCTCTGTTTTCATTTATACGAGTGCTTAACCAGTTTATATTGCCGAAGCCTGGAACTGAGCCCCATATGGTGAGGCCAGTAACTGGTGACCTGGACTAGCGATTTGGTATCATAAGTTGTAATAGGAGATTTGATAACAAATATTGTGGTTGCTTGCTGTCTTCTTTTTTCTTCGAGAGAAAATAAAATCATTCATTAAAAGAGGCACTAAGGGAGTGCCACCCAAGTAAAAATTATATGAATTAACGTTGAGATTTGATAGACTAAAACATTTTTCGGGTAATTATGAATTGATAGTTTGTGTAAATTACCTCCAGATACTTCAATGTGATTGGGTCAGATCCTGAGGGTAGATTGGGCGAAGCCCCCAGACCTGAACTACGTGAACATGGTCGAATTTCAGGTGCTTGTTTTGATGCAGCTCGTGGTATTATTCCCGGGCTAAAGGTATGTCAATATGTTCTTTAATTTTACGTTTTTGGGCTCTTTTTCTTGGAAATGCATAGAACATTTAGCAAAAAGGTGGCTACTTGAATCCATTTGAATGTGGTTCTGATCTAGAAAGATAAATGAACAAGTAAAGGTGGCTACTTAGAATCCACTCTGTCATTTCACATGGTTTCCAACTATACTTTTCTCCAATGGGCAATATATAGAGTAAAGTAACATTGCTTCTATAGTATTATAAATCACCTATATATACTTTTCTGGAAAGGAAGGTCTCAACTTTCATAACAGAGGAAGTTTGATGTATTAAGCTTTTAGATTATTATAACGATATCTAACTGTTTCATCACATGCACTAGTAATCAGGCGTTTTGTGAATCATATTGTTTGGGTTCTTGAGATTTTTCTGATCTGGTGTTTTGGGTCTACCCAGGTTAGAGGAACGGATTATAAAACTGCTGATGGCACTTGCATACGGGATTACATAGATGTTACCGATCTAGTTGATGCTCACGTGAAAGCCCTCGAAAAGGCAAAACCTCATAAAGTTGGAATCTACAATGTTGGCACCGGGCAAGGTAAGATAAATCTTTTGGCATAAGCATCGTCATGTTCGTAAAGACTTTCGAATGAGGCCATAGGTTCTTGTATTATAAGTCAATACACTTGTATTATAAGTCAATACAGACACGACCAAAGTAGGCTGCATTGCACCTAGAGCTCTAAACAAACATACCAACGATTGTGGAGACTTACATCCTAAACATTGTTCGTGTGGGTATATGTGAACAGGGAGGTCGGTAAAGGAGTTTGTAGAAGCATGTAAGAAGGCTACTGGCACAAACATCAAAGTTGATTTCCTTCCCCGCCGACCTGGTGACTACGCTGAAGTTTTCAGCGACCCAACCAAGATCAGGCGTGAGCTCAACTGGACTGCACAGCACGCCAATCTTCAAGAAAGTCTGGAGATTGCGTGGAGATGGCAGAAATCACATCTTGATGGGTACGGATCGTCCTCACAGGTGGCTTCTTGAAAGTTTTACTTATGGGGTTACATCCTCCTTTGGGTATGGACTCTCTCCGGTGATGGCTTCGAGAGCAGTTTTCGCAGTATTGCGTAGGACAGAACTAACTTATACCCTTTGACGGCCTTGATTCAAGTCGTAACTCCTCATTCGATCGTATAGAAGAAAGGGTTTGAAGCGATGATTTTTTGGACTCTAAAAATCATATCTTTTCTTGTATTTAATTTACGGGTAGGTTTAGCTAGTAGCCATTCGTTTTATATATGTATTCAAACGGATGATGGTCTAATAATATGATTATACCGCGCCATAGGTATCGCCTTCTACCACCGATCTTTGTTCTTCTGCAATGTGCATTGTCTTCTGTTTCTGATATCTAAATGAAACATTGCAGAATCATAAGTATAAAAGGTGTGTTAATTTATAATTTAATAATAGTTTATACTTAGTATTTATATTGAATAAAAAATATATATTTTTTTAAAAAACTTAATATTATTTAAATAATTATAAGAAATTATTTGTTTATTATTAAATAATTATCTATCATTTTATATTTATTAATTAATTTTATAACATAATATATGTTATAATATTACACGTCTTACTAAAAACACTATTTTTACAATAAATTTTTTTTATCAAACACTACTTTTCTTTTACTTAAAATTATATTTATAACACTTTAAATTTTATTCAGATGGATAAATTTTAGTGATGGTTAATAAATATATAGTAATGTCAGTAATTAAATGACAATAGCACATGATTGGAATGACAAATTTTTTTTACTTTTGGATGATGACATATTAATGTATGTTGATTATATATTTTTGTTTGGATGATAGGATGGTATGGTCGTATTTTCAGTCAAATTATTAATTTACGTATATATATTATATATAATAATAAATTGTATAAAAGAAGTATGTAAGAAATAAATAAATAAATAAATAAATTATTTATTAATATAATTATATTTGTATTTAAATAAATAATTATTATATATAATCAATTTAAAATTTTATATTTAATAAAATAAATAATTATTATTTATATTATCACATTAATTTAATTGTCAAGTATGGAATTAATTAAATTAGATGGGAGTATAAATGGAAAACAAATAGCATATCAATCAAATACCATCAATTCGTTGATTTAAAAAAATTTATTTTAAAATTTTCAAGTTAAATACCATTTGTTATCATTATAAGTTAAAATAAATACGATTTTTTCACACCGGTGAAATACTATGAATTAAAATTCTACTATTCACTATGATCCAAACAGATAGTAAATGTTAGTTAGATAGATATGTTAAATGATACTATTATACATATATATATAGTTTTTCTGTATGATTTTTTTTAATTTATACCCAAAATTGTATATACTTTTTTTAACAAATAAATTATTTTTAAAGAAAATAGACTAAGTAAATAAATAAATAAATAAATAAAGTTGAAGCAAAAAAAGCAGTGATTCGCTAGAAGGAGGGCTTGAACCTCCGACCTTGTGGTTAACAGCCACACGCTCTAACCAACTGAGCTATTCCAGCCTTGTTGAAGTAGCATCTTCAATATTATAATATATAGATATTTCCTTCTATATTATCAAGTTAATTAGTTAATATTTAGTTATAATCTATAATAATTGGTTAAATCTAATGATTATATCAATCTAAATGTAATGTTTTAGGTTGACATGCATGCAATTGTCCTTACTTCAAGATATTGTTGTCGTAGATATGAAACTTGTAACGTTTTGAATTAATTCGAAGACGAGTTCAAATCCCTCGAAGTGATCGTTAATGGTTGATTGATGCCGGAAAGATTATATGCAATTATCTTTGAGATCATAACATTGCTAAAATAGACTTTTTGTAAACAGTTATTTAAGGGTCGACCTAATCTCTCAAGAAAAGTAATCACCAAATCCATTATAAACGAAACAATACAAATGATATGCCAGTTCTAATTGAACATGATGAACTTTGTAACAATCACCATTTCCTCTCCTCCACCATTAGTTCATATGTTCTTGTAGATTACAAAAAACTCAAAAGATTTGCAGTCAGAAACAGTGATTCGCTAAATAATGCAAGCACCATTCATCTCTTCAACTACATGTATTGATTTCTCAAGCAACCGATTGAACAGCTCTTTCAAAATTTTCTTCTGCAGATGATGCTCGCTTGACGAGCATGTGGTCCGGATGGGAAAGTTTCAATTGGCTGCAAAAAGTACCACGAATGATTCAGAGGTTTCAGGATAAACGAAAATACCATGATATTTCCAGCTAAGACAGAAATTGGTTGTGATTAAAAAAAAGGCTCAATACTTTCAGGAGAAAAATTAAGCGTTCGAAACAGTTCAAGAATAAAACTAAAATCAGACGAAAGGCAAAGATCCTAGAAATCAGGTTAGAATTGGCTTAGTAATTAAACTGCTATGGTTTAGCAATTTCCGGCAAAGCAGTTGTACGGATGTTGACATGGTTATTTTAGCAACAGATGTGTTAATGTTATATATCCATAAACAATCATTGAGGACATTACAATAGTTGTTTACCTGAGGTAACGTGACGATGATTTACCGAGATGAAGACTGCAAACAACTAGATTTGCAAGGGTTTCTGGATCTTTTGCATCCTGAGTCAATTCCAAAACCATCTGTTAAAACTTGTAAAACTTGAAGGAGACATTAAGAGAGGAAATTAGAGTTGATTGGAAGATATTAAAAAGTAAGTGAGCCCCAATATCTTGCCTTGTTTAGTGCTTCAAGCAATAGTGTCTCAGCTTCATCGAAGTTTCCCATGTGCATGCAGCAAACAGCCTTCCCATTCAGGATTAAGCTGGTCATTGGATACTTCTCAGAGAAGTCCTGGAAGATGAGATATGCTTCCTGTATCTTCGAACCTCCCTGGTTTGATAGAACAATGTGCTATTATAATTTTCTTTTAGCAGATAACTGTATACTATTGTAAAATCATGCTTTCTCGTTTATATCTGAAATTTGAGACGACATACCACAGCCAGATTCAACCATGCATTTGCAAGTTGAGTCAGTGTGTGGTCCTCATCAATCTGCTGCATGACTCTCAGCTGTCTCTCACCATAGTCCGATCTGTGCATCTTCAGGAATATTTGGACATTGAGTGCATGCCTGCAGGAGGAAATGCACACAGAGTTTAATATTTAGAAAAGATGCAATTAGCAATTAATTTCTCCTTCCTTTCTCTTTCAGTCCACTCCATACGTATTTTGTAGCCACAAAATAACTCATAATTCCAGTCCATTCACATTTTTAGGAAGTCGAACTGAAAATTTCCCAGCATAAAGAAAATTCATAACAGAACATAGATTTCAGCAGCATCCAACATTAACCTTTATCAAATCATATAGAGGCAGAATCAACATGCATAAACCTACATTCCATTAAATTTTTTAAAAATAACTGAAGCTCATCTATATTTGGTGATTCCATGAAGACCACTTTATTTCACTAAATTAGGACCTCCTTTCAACATTCCTATCCTCGAAGCACCAGTAAAACATCTTAAGAATTAAAATAAAAGAGATGCTCCTATTGCAAGCATAACTGAGGCATTGCCTTAACTAATTAGGATATTTCCAATTCTCAACGTCTTAGACTATACATGAAACTGCGTGCGTAAATCAGGTGCAAGAAGGGAAAGAAATAGAAACTTCATTCTGTTCATTCAAAATTCACAACGGCTGTACTTTGAGTTTGAGAAGTTATTTTATGCCAATAACATAAGTTACATTGAAAACCTTTTGCCGACTGAAGTACCTACACAGTAACAACCAACCACCATGGCCTCTCTTTCACACAAAAAAAAAAAAGAACAAAAGAAAACTATCATCGTGGCATGAGTTTTGACACAAACTATTATACTCATAAGTAAAAACTTCCCAACACCAAACGAATTTCTTTGGCAGGAAACCCATATTAACATGATGATCTGGTGTCCTCGGTTTATGTAGTAATTAAATCATTTCTAATGATGTGCTTATATGGAGTTCTTTTCAAAGGTGAAAGCTCTCTTTGAAGTTGAAGTCTTTGTTTGGACAACAATATGCAATTGGATAATATATTGACTTTTCATTAACTTAGAGACCAAGCAGAGCTTCATTTCCCGATGTAAGTACGATATATTTTCAGAGTTCTAGTTCATCAATTTTTGCATTATGATGTATCCAGCAATCATGGAATTGTCTTTTCTCTCTCTTCCTTCGGGAACCATGGATTTACCATATAACTTGAGTGTTTCATTTCTATCCACCTTAGTGGGAGTAGAAGAAATACGGAGCATAAGGTTTAATAGAAGTGCTCTTTTTGCTCACATATAGTTTTTGTGGTTGGAACATAATCCTAGGACTTTTTTATTAGTTTTAATTGCTTCTTTGTAGCCTTGAAGGCACATGGTTGTTTTGAAGGCATCTCTTTATCAAACTTACAAAGGGATTGAACTGTTTACTTTCATCACATTCTCTGTCTCCATGAGTTTTCTCTTTTCTTTTTGCCTCGAAGGTTTCCTTTTTCACCATCCTTGTACCTTCTCTCTTTTCATAATAGCTTCTTCATTTATATATAAAAAAATAACGTGTTGACATGGTGTCCTCCAATATTCCCCTCCCCTTTAAAGATGCCACATTTTCTGAGAAAGTATATCCTCAGACAATCAGATCACTAGATTGACGCCTATCTAAAGAGCCGAATTAACTTATTTTCTTTTTGTTTAAATTATTTTCTGTTAGTTGCGATCTGAGTTCTATAGCCTATAACTAGTATTTAGTGAAGATGTGCCTAGCATGTGTTTAATGATGACTTTGAAGAGTTGAGATTAGATAGGTTCTGCTGAAATAAAGGGCTAGCAAGCCCACTGTTCTAATTTTCATAGTTAAACAAATTAGATGTTTGCACTCTGCATGCTAAGACCCAGACTTAAGTCTTTATCATTTTCCTACTCAAATTTTCTGCTTTATTTGAAAACTTCTAGCTATTTTCTTCTTCTCTTCTATGCTGTTATAGCTTCTTTTAAGTGTTCCAAAAAGCAAATGGAGTAAGCTGCTAAACTAAGAAAGTATGAAGTTAGATGTATTTCCAGTAGGATACTTGGCAAATTCAAGCCTGATTCATGAAATGGACTTTTTTAGCCATTTGGAAAAACTACTCATAAAAATATATTGTCAAATACTCCACTCAACCAGTTTCTTCCATTCCCAAACTACTCAAATCCTCGAAAACAAATAGAACTACCCACCGCCAACCAGATCAGGATGGATATAAACTAAGCATGCAAGTATGACTTTGTTAACATTGATGGCGAATTGATGCAAATTGATGGTAGTTATATAACTAGCAACTATTTCTGATTAACTTTTTATTTAATTAAAATCTAAATAGTTAAAGCAAGGAAAATCAAATGAGACTAACAGTTCCATGGTTCCTCCAGCATTGGTGTGTTTCAGAGCTTCATTATAATCCTCCTCATGCATGAATATGATCCCAGCAATCAACCGTAAAGTAGCATTATTTCCAATGGCTGGATCTGACAACCACTCCTTCAAGCTTGAAATGGTGGATTCCTATACAACTCAAAAGGCAACCATTAGTAAGACAACCTTTTACATGTTCAAATACTAGATACACAGCAAACTATCAAGATCAACATCAGTTTTAGCAGCAATTAACAATTCTATAATAAATCCAATCATTTTCGTTCAGGTTCCCTTTAAACAATTGAGAAATTGGACGGGTTCTCGAATAATGGATCTATTTCCTGGAGAGAGAACAGAAAATGGAAAATTAACAGTTCGATTTTAGGAAAGATTTCAGATTCAATTCAATATCCAAGTTCCAAGTATAATTAGGAGGCTTCGAACAAACACGAATCTCACATGACAGAACACAAACGTGTATGTGGCAGCTACACAGAACGCACTGCAAATTAACATAAACAATAATAAAATCCTCCAGATCTCGGAAATGTCACCTTGTTTCCGGGGCTTGAGAGATACAAAGCCAGCAATTTCACCGCCTGTAGAGGAGTAGCGGCAGAGGCATCGATCTCATTGATCACGAGCTGAGAACATAAAGATCAGAAAATAATTAAGAAAATAGATCAGACCAAAAGAAAAAAAGGATCATAAAATTGAGCCCGCGCGAGCGGAGAAAGAGAAGGACGGACCTGGTAGCTGCCGAGAGCGATGTAAGAGCGGAACACGATGCAGTCGCGCTCGACGGCGTCGTCCGCGGATAGATGAGGGAGGTCACTGTTGTTAATGGCGGCCTGGTAGGCTCCCAAGTAGAAGTTGTTTCGAAGGTTGAACAAGTGATCTGGCCCCGCTGCTGCTGCTGCCGCTGCTGCCATTTTTCCTCCGGTGTAGATCTCTTTGATTCCCCAAAGCAACCTTCGTCTTCTTCTCTTCCACTTTGTATCAGCGAGACAAATACTCCTTCAACTGTTATTATTTAAAAATCAATTTTTAATTTTTATATTTATATAGACTTTAAATAAATAACTGTTTTATAATTATTAAAAATAAATAAATATTACACAAATTATTATATTAATTTAAATAATATTTAAAATTTTACTTTATTTAATATATAAATATTACATTAATTTAATAAATTATTAAAGATATTATGATATTTTATTATGAAGTATTATTAGAATTTATTCATTTTATTTCATTAAAATAAATTAATTTAAATTTTCTGATGTATATTATATTTTCGTATTATTATTTTATTTTGGTCTGAAATTATTATTTTCATTCAAAAATTAAATTAATTTGGACATAATTAATTGTTGAGATACAATTAATTTAAGCCCAATTTTAAAACTCAGAAACCTGCTGAAGCCCAGCCCATAAAAGCCCAATATTAGACGACCCGTTTCACGACCAAGTCTCATACGGCGTCGTTTGGGAAAAGGTCATGAAGGGTGAATTTTGAAAACGGCGGGGTAAAATTGGAAACACAATTTTACTGAAATGGCTGACAGCTGTTTCCCACGGGGTTCTTCTCCGTATAAATACCACCGACCATTCATTCTCCCTGTATTAACTCAGTCTTCTGAGACAGAAACGTTTCGCAGTCGTTTCTTTCGTTGCCTCGGATTCTCTGCTAGTCCTCGAGAATCGTTTTGCTTCTGTCTGGTTCAACATTGCTTCTCCGTTCGCTTCTCAGGTAAGGAGGATCTCCACTCCCGCTTTCTTTTTCCATAAAGGATTCGTTCCTTCTCCTAAAAATCAGATCTCAGATCGCAAATCTATTTTAATCGAAACTCTAGTCGTAGATCGCTTCTTTCTCGATCATATTCTCCGGTGTATCAATGTGTTTTTCATTTTCAGTTTAGTTTCTCCTAATTTTCTGTTTCATTTTAATTCGCATCTTTGCTTATGGAGTTTTTAGTGCCTGAAGATAATAAATGGCCACGTTGATTCATCTTCGCAGAATGAAGCATAAGACAGCAGTGATGTTCTTTTTTCTGTGTCTTGTTCTTGCTTGATTGAGTTTGATAGTTTAGAAATTTCAGTGGAAGTATCAGTTCATCTGCCGGATTAATTTTTTTTTTTCGGTTGAAAGATCGTTAGCGTGCTTTTAATCTGTTAGCGACTTGATGCCATTGTTTGTTGTGTATAATCAAAGACGTTATTTCCTGTCTTACTGAACTGAGGTTCTTCACTGGATCTGTTGTAGTAGATATCTTTCAGAAGTAGATAGCGGTGGCGAAATTTGATTACAAGAAAGCTGGATGTATTTATTTTTTCCTTTCTTCCGTGTTTGTAGGTTTGGCTCCCTTTTTTCGTTTTAAGTCACTGGAAAGGCCAATATTTTCTAACCTTACTGTGATCCAACTTTCTATCTGCTTAGTTTTGTAATTAAGTTAAAGAATTACCTTTGTTTCAGCTCACTTGATCTTGCTAGATCTGGATTGTGCTTAAAAGGCGGTGACAATTTGGTTTATATGATTGAAAATCGTATGATAGTTCTAGTAAAGGTCTCATTTCCGTAAAGGATGAAAATATTGGGGAGAGGAAAGGAAGAACAGGTAGTCACATGTATGATTTAGATAACAAGCTGGTGCAAAATATGTAATTTTGCTTTAGTGAGGTGGAAGGTGTATGAATGTCCTCAGTTGATGAATTTCCTTGTTTGAACACCAATTTTCCGTTGTCATTTTGATATATGCTGATGATAATGCAAGATGTTTTAAGAAAAGACTGATTCTTTGCTATACTGCTTGATGCTAGTTGGTTCCTTTTGTGTCCAGGAACCAATTTTCCTAGTAAGAAGTCAAGGAGCATGGGTCGTGGAGTGAGCAGCGGTGGGGGCCAGAGTTCCTTGGGATATCTTTTTGGCGATGGGGAGGCTCCAAAGGTAGCCGCCAAGAAGGTCCAAGAAGCACCAAAGGAAGGACAGGCTGTGAGTAATGTCCCTCCCCCAAAACCTGCTCCTCAACCTGTAGATGTTAGCAAGCAGATTCCTGCTGGTATAAATAGTACTTCTTCAAACAATTATATGCGTGCTGATGGCAGCTCTTGCAACTTCATTACGGTATGATTTCGCGATTTTATTGCTTCGTTTTTTTCTTGATAATGGTTATTCATATTAGTTGCTCATGTAGTGTTTATAATTAGGTGTTAACAGCATCATTTTTTACTTCTCCAATGAAAAGTACAGGAGTACAAGAACAATAAAATAGTACTAGGTGTAGTTTGTTGTTATTAGTCATTAGTAATGGTTTACAGATAGGGTTTGCAATCAAACCTGAATGATTAAGATATATTGACTCGCGTATTCACCATGAACGTCCGAAGCTGTTTTGTCCACCTCCCAACCAAGTTGGTGAAAAATAATTTGTTGTGAAGTGAATGAAAGGAAGAATAATTTTAATGATGATTATTCAGCTACCTACTTCACGTACGTTTAAGCATTATAATTGATGAATTTCTTTTAACGTCTACAGGATCGGCCTTCAACGAAGGTCCATGCTGCACCAGGTGGTGGCTCTTCTCTGGATTACCTCTTTGGTGGTGGCAGCAAGTGATATATGTCTTGGTATTTTCATAATGAAGTATTGTTTGCTGATTCTTGTGGAGCTTGTATCTTTTTGTATTTCATCCTTTACATAAGCAGCAAAAAATTTTGCTGGATGGTGTGATTGTAATATAGATGCTATGGTTGAATCAAAACTCAAATTTTGGATGCATAAACGTCTGCTATCAAGGTCAATTATTGTCCAGAGCATCTGTTCTTTTCTCTGCGGAATGGTTACTTTTTTCCTTTGGCTTTATGCTGCTTGTTTTCAAATATTAAAGTTTTTGCTAACTGAATTTGTTGCGTTGTATTAGCTCTAAAGAATGCCAGCCAAAGGGTAAAGTTCTCCTTGTCTGAAATCAAGTTTAGCACCTTTCGACGGTGAGTGAAAGTTTATCGGTTATTATTAAGGAAAATCAATGGCAGTCTTCAAGAATTTGGATAATCCTTAGAAGTAAATTATTAAGAGTTTGATGAAGACTAACATTTTCCTGACTCTTTTCCCTTTGGTTAGGGATAGCAACAGGTGGATTTGATATTGGGTTTTATCAAATTCGAACCTGACTCGTTTTCAATTTATTCAATTTTTTTTTTAAAAGTTAAATCCTAATTTGCCTTGATCTGTCTCTTTTTTCAGCCAATCCAAATCTAACTCAATTTGAACATGTATTTTGATTAAAAAAAATTATAAGATATGGGTAAAGTGTACTCTCCAAAGCATAGTTTTGTGTTTGAAACAAATCCTCATACCATCAACTCCTAAGGTTGCTAGGAAAATATAGCCATACAAAGACAGAGCCCCAGATGTTCCCCCATTAGATGGTCAGCTAATTTTATTCCTTAAACGTTATACTAATAGGAGGTGGGTTAAACATTTTCTTAATTGAAGATTTTAAGTCTTTTAACTGTACGGAGTGTTAGGACTTTTTATGACCTTAAATAGTCAACTGTATTGTTGTTAGAATTTAGGCTTTATTTGTTCACAAGTTACGATTTAATTCTATCTAGCAAAAAAAAAAAAAAAATTGAATTTTACGAAAAAAATCACAGTCTGTTATAATTCTTAAGATAATACTAAAAACCAATAGTAACTCAAGAGTGATTAGATCCAGTCTTTGATATTCACTTTGATCCAGTCAAAACTAAAATTGATTTTTATTTAAATGATAAAGATAATTTTATATGCTTCCTACATACTCTTTTACAATTAATCCTAACAACCACAAGTACTTGTTTGTTTGTTTTCTCGAAACTGTTTATGTTCCTTAGTAAAATTGTATGGACAGTATAACTTTGATAAACTGTTTGTTTTCTTAAACCATTATAATATCCTTTTTGAAAAAAATGATTCTTCCAATATAATTTTATATGCTTCCTATATATTCTTCACAATTAATTCTAACAACCACAAGTACTTGTTTGTTTGTTTTTTCAAAACTGTTTAAGTTCCTTAGTAATTGTACGGACAGTTTAACTTTGATAAACTGTTTGTTTTCTTAAACCATTATAATATCCTTTTTCAAAAAAGATTCTCAGCATTTGTTTAACATGGTTTGTGTTTGTGTTATGAATGATAAAATTGGTGTTAACATAACTCTGCAACAAAGTGGTTTAATCGGATTTAAATCAAGTAACTCATAAAGTCGACACAATTTGAGAAAATTAAAGAGATTTAAGCTCTCCCAAGTTAGAGGCCAATTCAAATTTACTCTTTATATAAATAAGTCAGACTTCATATTTAATAAAACTTGTCTTAAATATACTTTTCCTGCTATTTCTAAATAATTTTTTTTTTATTTTTTACTTTAAAAATAAATAAATAAAAGAGATATATAACAATATTAGGTTATTGGCTGTGAATCCATATTAAGTTATTTCCACATAAAAATAAAAAATTTACGAAAAATTGAACAATTGTATACTTTCTCAGCCATTATTACTTGGTAATTTTTATTAGTTTGTATATTAGTTCATAAACTTTTTTTTTAATGTATTTTTAGAGGATGAGAATTAGTACATAATCTATTCAAAATTATCACCGATGTGACAATAATATATAATTATTTTCGAATCAAATGAACAACGATCCATCTACCTCATAGCAATTATTTTTTAACAAAAGTTGTTGAATATCAAAAACTCATCATCACACAATACTTTTTCATAACAAGTTAAAGGAATAGGCATTATTGGTAGAGAAGAAGCAATAAATTAAGATTTATCTAAACCAATACCATACATGACTACGATACGATGTGGTTTTTGTAAAGTTGATCATTACGAGGGTTACGATGAGTTTGTAAAGTTGATCATTAGTTCACAATTTAGTGTGAAAGTGAAAAGACGAATTAATAAAAATCATCTACGACTTCGCCAAGTATGAAGGACATCTATCATTTGGGAGGGAGCAAATTTTCGTGCCGGTGTTAACTAGGTTAGCATATACCACCACTCATCTATACTACGTAAACCTTGAAGTGGAAAGGGTTGATGAATTATAATCCCAAGCTTCTATGTCATCTCCCAAAAGCCAAATTTTCCTGAGAGGCCCAAGAAATCTTACATCCCTACTCTGGGTACCTAGTTTTCTCCACAACTTGAATATAGTAAGGAATTTTAGAACAAGACATACACCATTTCTATTTCTTCAACCATCTCAACCCTTAATGCTTTGTTTAATAATACATGTTGTCCGCCAAAGAAATAGAAAAAAGGTCAATTATAGTAAATAGAGAAGACTTGGTATACAACAATTATAATGCAAGATTAACACCATGTGCGAGCACGGGCACGGGCACGCACAAGAGAGAGAGAGAGCGAGAGAGAGAGCAACAATATCCTAGAGCAAACCAGAGAGAGTGAGAGGTCAAAATATCCTACATATATCCATGAAACTGAGAATATTCAACATTGCATCAATACAGCTCCATTTTGGTCAGACAGATGGCGATATCCGGAAAAAACAAGATTTGCTGTTGTAACATCAAGAAAGCCCTTCATACAAAGGAGTATCCCTCACCCACACCAAAACTGGAAGCAGGATGATTGCGGCAGGCAGAAACGACACTAACTAGAAAAACCTTCAGGGTATCAGCTTGTTGAACGCCTGCTTTTGAATATATGTATATACACAGACAAAAACACGCACCCATAAACGATAGATTCACATCTATGCAAAACAAAAAATTGCTGAAGTGATAAGAAATATACTACAAAGGAAGTCTTACAAAATATTCTCAAAAATGAGTCTAGACTTGAAATAACATTTCAAAAGAAGTGTTATGCATGCAGGAATTTGTTCAAAGTTCAAAGACAATCCATTCCTATGTTCGGAACAAATTCAGAATTCATGTCTAATTATTCGCAACTCAACATTATTTTAACTATGAAAAATGCAATTTAAAAAAAAAAAAGATTATAAAGATTGTGTTCATATGGAAATTAAAACAATATATTCTATAATTCTGAATTCTATAAAAAATTGGTCATATAAGCTCAATTTTTACCATTTTAAGAATTTAATCATCTTCTAGTTGAAATAAGTTGATGTTTGGAAATGAACAACATAGAAATTTAGAATTTGCTATAGACATGGCCGAATAAACTTAAATAGGCAAACACTCTTTAATAGAACACATATTCAGACATTCTAACCATCAATACATGGGGGCAACTTTCACCCGATGAAGAACACACAGGAAAAATAAAAGACACCTGAAGAAACCTGTGAATTTCTTAACAGAGAAAAAAAAGGAAATAAATTACTAAAATGAAGTAGAAAAGTTGTGCACAAATCTCTACTTCAGAGCATTTCTAAAAAAAAGATTTAATTTTTTAACAATGCAGGTCACTAATTCTTAATCGGCGGCAATGAGTCCAATTGCAAGATATAGGTAGGAAGGTAGGGGGAAGGGGGAGAGATGGGAAAAAGAGAGTCCAGAGAAAAAAGACCTTACACAACCATAAATGGAGATATACAGCTTTTAAGAAGCTACAAGAACCACTGCCGATTGTCTCCATTCCTAATTAAGAACAGTAATATATCAGCCATAATGGAAATCTCAAGAATGATGAAAACAGAACAAAAGAAATCAGGTGAGTGTCCCCATACAAGTTATTTTTAGACCCTGCTGGAGAATCATAAGATCAAAAATTTTCAGAACCCAAATCTTCTCAAACTAACCACATGCCTACCATCTCCTCAACTGAAATCCCATATCATCCTTCACTTACTCAACAGCGAACCATGGCACCTCCGCTATCTAAAGCTAACATCCAAAGTATCTCACCCAAGGACACAAGGAAAGATGGTTTACAGATTCGGCAATTTTCTTTTGCACAGGAAATAGTCAACACTTCCTCACCTGCTCCTATTATTTTCTACACCTGGTGCACCAAAAACCTTACCCAGTACACTAGACATGTCAATATCAATCTCATTTGTTCTAAGCCTTCCATGTATAAATACAGTAAGAAAGAAATTCTCTGGTTTCAGTCATGCCAAAAATTTTCCTTCCATTTCCTTTCCATCTACCAATTCCACCAAAAACAACATTTTTACAGAAAGCACTTAAATCATAAAACAAACTCTTCCCCATTAGGTTTTCACCAGCTGCCACAAAAGAAGCACAAAGCAAGCTGAAGGATTCTTAAAATTAAGAACCACGAGGATTCAGTCAATAACTTTCAATTCAGTTCATAATTACATAACTAACAGATTCACAACCCACCACTCCAACGGCAAAATTATGTTGAAATTGACATTTTAACTTTAGAATACTATAGTATTAACCTCAATTACTGGGATTTGAATCTTATAAAAAATCCATTCACAAGTCAGATTAGGCAAATAAGACTTTTGACACTTTGACAGTAACAGTCAAGAAATGTTTTCAAGGATAAATGTGGCAAAGGAGTATTAAGCATTCCATCTGGGCATACTAGGAAGCTAAACATATTCCCAATTATCAAGCTTTCTGTCTAATGAGAATATAATAGCCGGAATACATATACAAAACTTATATCCAGGGTAATTAACTATAGTACAAATCTTTGCATAAAAACACATAAATCAAAAGTACAAAATAAAACAGATTAATTATCTATAAAAACTATGTCGCAATGATGACAAAAGAAGAAAAAACATAGCACACATGCTTCAAATGAACAAAAACAGCGAAATAAGTTTTCATTACAACGACGATAATCCAATCAATACTTTCTTATGGTCAAAAAACAGAATCCAAAGATAGTATGACCAACCTAACACTACTGCTGCTGGTTCTGCTGGTTCTGAGGGTTTGGTGGAGGTGGCATACCAGGGCGTGGTGGAGCAAAAACAGGAACTCCACCAGGCGGAGGAGGCATCCCTGGACGAGGTGGGGGTGGTGCAGGCATCCCGGGCCTCTGTGGTGGGGCCGGAGGTCCCCTCATCATTGGAGCAGGCGGCGGAACCATCGGCCTCTGCCCGAACTGCGGTGGAGGCACAGGGAACTGTTGCGGTGGCCTGACACCAAATGATGGAGGTGGAACCTGAGGGGGTGGACCCCGAACCATCGGAGGTGGACCTTGTCCAGGATATGCAGGAGGAGGAATCTGACCAGGTGGTCGAAGAACCGGCGGCCCGCCGGCTGCAGAAGGCGGATAAGTCATAGGCGGGGCAGAGAGCTGCGGGATCGGAGGACGCGAGATCTGTGGTTGCATCATACCGGGAGCAGGGCCACCGACTCCGCGAACCGGTCCAGCCAGACCGGGCTGAGCCTGAACAAGAGGAGCGGTCGGAATACCACGGCCAGCTGCCCGGCCCATTCCGGGACCGGCGAGTGCGGTACCGGAGACGGCTTTGGCTCGTGACTCTTCGGGAGGCGGAGGTCCCTCGACGGTCATAGAAATGACCTCCTCGCCGCGGAGAAGGACGAGGCCAAGAGTCCGGCGGTCCTCGCGCTCCTCGTTGTTTTTCTTGCCCTTGGCAGGAGGAAGCTTCCGGAACTCCTCACAGTCGCCGAGGACGAGGTTCATGTGGCGATCGAAGGCCATGAATTTCCCAACCAGCTGGCGCCCGTCCTGGATTGTGACGCGCATCCTGTAGTTGATGAACTGCAGCATCTTGGAGCTCTTGGACATCGACATTGTTGCGATTTCTGGAGCTCAACAAGGTTAGGGTTTGTTTTAAGGAAGAGAGACCAGGGTTTTTGAAATGGAGTTTGGAGCGGGGGAGTAGAGTTGGCTTTCGAGTGACGAAGAGCGGACCTCTAGGGTTTTGGGTTTATTTTTTAATTTATTTTTTTTAATGGGATTTCTTTTTTTTTTTTCCCCTACTAAAAAACTTATTTTTAAATTTTGGTAAATTACATTCTTTTAATCTCAGGCCCAGGCCCATACCCAGGCCCAGGACCAGACCCGGGACTAGACCCGGGCCCATACAGTTGAAGCCCAACAGAAACGATCGGAACGACGTCGTTTAATCGTGGAGCCTTGAACTAAATCAGAAGCTTCTAAATCATCTCGTTCCAAACAAGTCAAAACGACACCATTTTCGGAAGAGGGTTTCCGTGGGCTCACTTTTTCGGCTTCCTTCTTTCCTTCCACAGAGAGGTGGCGGCTGTGAAAGTGGACCGAGCGGTGAAGAAGGAAATAGCGAGGATCTCGGAAGAAAGAAGAGAAGGGACTGACGCGAAGAAGAAGAAGAAGAAGAAGAGATCAGTTGTTTATTAGGTCACCATCATTTTCTTTCCCTATATATTCGTTGGATTTTTTTTTGTTATAGTTAAATTCGTATACTGTTTATTAAACTCGTATACATTTCTCAGAGGAGTGACGAGCTGAAAATTGGAGGCAGTGAAGTGGTATTTTCTTTAAATTAAAGAACATATGGCTGGCGGTGGAGGTAAAAAGAAGGAAGTGAAGAAAGAGACTGGCTTAGGGCTTTCAAATAAGAAGGATGTGAATTTTGGAGAATGGTATGCTGAGGTATGTGATAAAATGTTCGTGTAATATTCTGATTCGGTAAATGAAATGGTATACATATTTATATCGGGAATCATATTATTGACTTGGAAATGCTTTCATCTAGGTTTGTGTCAATGGTGAGATGATAGAGTATTACGACATATCTGGATGTTATATTCTGAGGCCATGGGCAATGGCAATTTGGGATACCATGCAAGTGAGCTTTTCAGAGACTTTCCTTGTTATTTAATTTAATTCCTTCTTGGTTAATCATAATTAAGGTTATAGATCTTTATCAATGTTTGTACAAGCGTTTGAACTTGATTCATGTACGGTACACGCTAATGTCTTTGAACAACCGCATGAGAGGGAATATAAGGGGAGACAGAATAAAGAGCAGAGAAATGAGGGATGTGTATTTATAGGGAGAAAGCATAATTAGGAAGATCTGGGAATGTTAAACTTGTATATTTTTCTTCTTACCACATAATTGATTTTTTCTTACTTGCCGGAGCATTAGGGAATTGGGCTGGCTCTTTTTTTTTCTCAATTTGATGATAGCGTTGATGTCTATATGCAGACATTCTTTGATGCTGAAATCAAGAAAATGAAAGTCAAGAATTGTTATTTCCCCCTTTTTGTTTCCCCTGGGGTTTTAGAGAAGGAGAAGGATCACATTGAAGGATTTGCTCCAGAGGTGAGGCTTTGCAATCCTCTTGTTCTTATTTTTGGAGCATGTGGATCATTGTGATAGATGAAATTTTCTTTCTAGGTTGCTTGGGTTACCAAATCTGGGAAATCCGATTTGGAAGTGCCTATTGCTATTCGCCCAACCAGTGAAACTGTGATGTATCCATATTATTCAAAGTGGATAAGGGGACATCGAGACTTGCCTCTGAAACTAAACCAGTGGTGCAATGTTGTCAGATGGGAGTTCAGCAACCCTACACCATTTATCAGGTATTGATCTTCAATATAATTTTGATATTGGTTTAATAGATGGCATTTATGCTTTACAAGTATAATTACATTCCTTCAGTTTGGCTGTTGTTTCTTACTTTCTTTCTTTTAAAAACATACGTCCTCCAATTTAGTGGTGTTTTTGGTAAATAAACCATTTACTAGCTTATAAGCTGTGGAAGTTAAAATAAATAAGTTGTTGAATAGTTTATTAACTGTCTATTTTATAAAACGACAATAAGGACATTTTATTTTTTTAACAAGTAAAACTATCAAAATCTAATTTTTTAGAAATTTAATTATCTATATCTAAAACAAACTAAAACATAAAATAGGTTCAACGTGATAATTTTTATATTCATTTAACTATTTGCTTTATTTACTTATTTTTTTTTCTAACTAATCTGTTATTCAACAGATAATGAAAAAGAAAACGAAGATGAAAATGAAAATGAAAATGAAAGTGTTTTGAAACTTGAAAATTTTCAAATTGTTAAACTCAAGTTGTTACATTCAAGTTGAAACTTGAGAATGATCAGTATTTTCTTGAAATGTGCATGCTTTATATATATTTTTTTTTATTTAAAAAAAACATATTAAGCATGCACATTTCAAGAAAATACTTATCATTCCCAGCATTTGTGTTTTCTGTTGTTTGAGTCTAATTTTGTCTTTAATTAGTTTACACTAGCTTATTTTAGTTTACTTATAAGTTCAAAAAAGTTAAGCTCCTCCACCAGCTTATAAAACAAGCTATTACATATTATCTGTTTTTCTAAAAGTAAGCTCCCCATTGTAAGTCAAACATATTACTACAAAAATTTTTACTCCTAATACCCCCATTTTTCAGCAGATAGAACTTCTTTCATACTTTTCTTTGCCTTTCTCTCTTTGGAAGGGAGTTGAGGGTATGAGTCCTTTCTCCTGTATTCTAGCCACTAATATGGGATCGGGGTAGTAGTAGTTTTGACTTTGGATCTTTGATTGCATGTTTACCATCTTAAAATTTGTTAATGCATATATTTTCTTGGAAGATTTATGATAATTTTCAAATATAGCATTGGTTAAAAAATGTAGTAACCTGTTGTACTAAATTATTGGTCATTTTGAACTCAATTTTATGATTGTAGGAGTCGTGAGTTTCTGTGGCAGGAAGGGCATACTGCTTTTGCCACAAAGGAAGAGGCAGATACAGAGGTATGAGGACACAATTTCAACTCTTTGGGCTAAGCTCTGCTCTAAGAAGAACTTAAGTCGTTTATTATATATATATATATATGTATATTTGAAAGAGAAAATGATGTCTCCTTGGAGGCATCGATGAAAGAAAAAATGATAAGTAACAAAAAGGCACCAAGGAAGTGCAATCCTAAAACAAATTTTAATTAGAAGCTGTTCAAATTAACAATATCTATGTCATCCAATAAATATATTAGGTTCCTATATAGGAGTTGAGAATTCTGAGCCAATGATCCTTGATGGACACGAAAGGGTAGAAGAGTGATCAAAAGCTCTTCGGTTCCTTTCTTTCCAAAAACCCAAGAAATAGGAAGAACAAGTGAAGGAATTTCTTCTGCTTCGCGGAAGTGGGAATTCTGCTCCAAATCTAGAGTTCATCCTTAACTGCGTTACAAACCCAAACAGATTAAGAAGGTCAAGAGTATAATCCCAAAGCTTTCTAACTTCTGAGCACCACAGACAGGGGACTCGCAGTCATTGAGACATAGGAAGCACCAGTTAACCATGATTATGCTCCTCTCCATGAGATTGTCTCTAGTTAAAAATCTGATCCAAATTGCCTCCCAAGTAAGAAAAGCAATCCTAGTGGTAGCTGTTGTTTTCCATTTCTGCTTCCAGTTTTCCATTTCTGCTTCCATGGGAAATTCATCCAGCAATGCTTTAGGCAGATTTATAAGGTTCTATCATGATTTAACTGTGAATCTGCCATCTTGTGTGCGTTTCCGGACTTGCCTGTCAAGCCCATCAAGATGAACGGAACAAGACTTCAAAATGAATAAGTGAATTGCACAATCATCAATCTCCCACTTATTTAAATTGTGAAGAAGGGGAACATTCCATTGGACCCACCATTGTACACCAATAGTCCTTCACTTTTGCCTCCTTGCAACTTGCAACCTACAGAATAAGGAAAGGAGTCTTCCAAAGGACTAGAAAAGCACTATAAATCATGCCAAGATCTAATACTACTACCTCGCCAACTATGAACCGAGTGCCCCCCAGGAAGCAAATGCCAATTATCACAAATTTACCTCCAAAAGCTTTGACGAAGAACACCTCTGCTACCTTCCACCAGCGCTGTATGTGTGCAGACTGAATTTGCACTTAGAAACCCCCTCTAGAAAGTTTATTTCAAATAAGAAAAAAAACAACCTCCTGTAGGAAGTGCCTCCAAAAAAAATTCATTTTTGAATTTTGGAAGAAGAGCTTTGCTGAAAGAGAGCAACGACCTAGTCACTAGGCCAACAAATCTCAAAGGTATTTTTCACCCTATCCAAGCAACTAAATGGAATTTCCTATGCTCAGAATCACTCCATAAGAACCAGCATCGAATTGCTTTGATCTTTTTTGCAACCGCCACAGAGATGGGGAAGAGTGAACAAGGAAAATAAATATGGAGGTTAGACAGGGAACTTTTGATGTTGTAGAAAATTGTTTATTAATATTTAATAATGTGGAAATTGAAGACCATCTGAAGTTTATGGGGTGAATATTTAGCTATCTTTCCCTTATTATGTATATTTGGCTTGCATAGAGATATATGATAAATTGGTACTTGGTGCTCTTAAGACCATTGACAGTAGCTCAATTTTTTTCTCACCTTTGAATAAGTTAAGGTATTAAGGATGGTTGATGAAGAATGAAGCAGTTGAATTATATTGGAATCTTAATTTTTCTTTTATATATCAGGTGCTTGAAATATTGGAACTGTACCGACGTATTTATGAAGAGTTCTTGGCTATTCCTGTCATTAAAGGCAAGAAGAGTGAGATGGAGAAGTTTGCTGGTGGGCTTTACACGACAAGTGTCGAGGTACATTCACATAAACATGTTCATGCTACATTTTATGTAATTTAATTGATTCCAACTGTTGACATTTTGTCTAAATCTGCTATACTTTACGTCAGGCATTTATTCCAAACACGGGTCGTGGTGTACAAGGTGCAACCTCACATTGTCTGGGCCAAAACTTTGCAAAGATGTTTGAAATAAACTTTGAAAATGAGAAGGGAGAGAAGGCCATGGTCTGGCAAAATTCTTGGGCCTATAGTACTCGCACGGTAGGATTTTACAAGTAGGGATTTGTCCTTATTTAGTATACTTCTAATAGAAAGAAAAAATGGAAAAGATAGTAAGTTACGTATATTTCTTATTGTTGAATTTATTCTTGTTGTTGAGTCATTGAATTCCCAAGTGTTGTATATAGTTGTGTTTCAGAATTCTTGAGTGCATAAAGTTTAACTGTGAATACCAGTCTTTTTAACTGTTGTATTTGGAAATTCAGTTTAAAATTAATTTCAGAAAAAAGAACTAATTTTGTTGTGAGCTCAAGCTTTTTGTAACATTGTCTTTTGTTCATATTTCTATTATTTGTCTGTATTCTTTCTGAGCACATCCGGAGTTACTTGCATTGCTTCCAGCGATAATTTAATTGGTGTACATTGTTTGTGGGATTAGCTTTTTTTCATTTATTTTATGTGTATTAACTTCTGCGTAGATTGGGGTCATGGTGATGGTCCATGGAGATGACAAAGGCCTGGTGTTACCTCCTAAAGTAGCATCTGTTCAAGTTGTTGTAGTCCCTGTACCATATAAAGATGCTGATACTCAAGGAATTTTTGATGCATGTGCTGCCACTGTAGCTACCTTAGATGAGGCTGGTATTCGTTCTGAGGCCGACTTCAGAGACAATTATTCTCCTGGTTGGAAGTACTCACACTGGGAAATGAAGGGTGTTCCCTTGAGGATTGAAATAGGGCCAAAAGATTTGGCTAACAATCAGGTGCATTATTTAATAGCTATCTATATATGTTTTTTCTGATTTTTGTTGTCAGTATCTTCTATGATTTACTTTGATCCTATGCACAGGTACGTGCTGTCCGACGTGACAATGGAGCGAAAACTGATATTCCCAGGGGTAACTTGGTTGAGCAAATAGAAGAAATGCTGGGTAAGATTCAGCAAAGCCTGTTTGAAAGTGCAAAACAAAAACGAGACACATGCGTACAAATTGCTAAAACTTGGGATGAATTTGTGGAGGCTCTAGGACAGAAGAAATTAATCTTAGCTCCATGGTGTGATGAAGAGGTATTTTATCAAATTATTCAAATTTTTACCAATCATTTTATTAACAAACACTTTGTGCACGTCTCTGTGATTGTAATTTATGCGTGTATGCACATATTTGATTAATAATTAGTCGATGCCTTATATATTCACTAACTCCATGTGATAATTTGATTTGGCAAGATTTATATGCTTGATAATATTCTTACTATATTGGGTTTTTGGCCCAAATCCTTCTAGTTCTTTTTCCTTTAAAAATTTTTGAAAACTTATTTGAACATTTTTTGGTTCCTTTAGGAGGTGGAGAAGGATGTGAAAACACGAACTAAGGGTGAAATGGGAGCAGCTAAGACTCTTTGTTCTCCCTTTGACCAGCCAGAACTTCCTGAAGGTATGATATCTTCTGAGTTTTCCCTAATTGCTGATTTTACTTCCCTAATACCTAAAATTGTGCTGAGAACTTTCATAATATGCTATTCAATTATTAGGGCTAATCTGCCAAAGGGACTATTATATTCTAGGACTCAACACTCTCTTAGTGTAGATTGTTTTAGTTTTTTTCTATTTTTGGTTTTTTCTCATAGTGTAGACTGTTTTAGAAAGGAAAGGAATTTTATAGACAAGACACCAAAGTGAATACCAAATCGCAATTCTTGAGAAAGGGGAACCTATGCCCCATGAAAGCTACTATGGCTCTCTCCAAAAAACCCACAAAGAGATGGATGGGGATAACCCTTTGCAATTTTTTTTGGAGAGGAAAAGAGACAACTGTTTTGCATCGTGTCATTACATTGGTATAACTAGCTGGCACAAAGCTGCACATTAGGTTTAAAAGCCGAAGGCAACATTTGGGAATTTTTGGAGTCAGAATGATCTACTGTTCATAGATAAGATCTCTGCCTTATATTCTGTTTTAGATATTCTGGATAAGATGGTTAATTGTGAAGGTGATGATGACGTAGACCTTTGTACCCTTCAACCTATATATTTAAAAACTTTAACATAGTAATTAACAAGAAATTATGAAATTATTTGAGTGTTAAACAACTATAGTATTATTTAAAATTATTTATTTATTTTAAATGATCATTTTTTTTAGGAAAAAGCATCTTAATTTGCTCGCAAGAAATAAGAGTCCAATATTGATCCTTTTGTATCATGTTACCTACGTCTTTCATAAATTATGAAGATACCAAATTTTCGCACAACATAAGTCTGTAGATTACAGAGCTTAAGTTTATCCACACATGAGCAAGAGCTCAGAGAACTTTGTTCGTAAGCTGCTTGTAGTAAGTTTTGCCTGCACAAATATTTTTGGCAAGCATCTTCTGTTGTTGATGAAGGATTTTAGGTTTTATGTCAGTTTGCTTTTTATTTTGTTAATGTCTGAAAATTGTATCAGGTACTAAATGTTTTGCTTCCGGGAAGCCTGCGAGAAAGTGGACCTACTGGGGAAGGAGTTACTAGATTGTTGTGGCACCCGACGTGCACTCCTCTTGAACATGGTTATTGACACCCGATCTCGAAATTTCTGAAATTGTTACTGGAATGAAATTGATGGGACAAACCCAGATTGTTCATCTTTATCATATATGGTTTTTAGTTTTGCTACTTTGTACTTTCAGAAAAAAATGATGATCATCGGATATTTACTTACAATGAGCTGCAATTTTATTTGTTTAAGAGCTCTAGAAATGAATAAAATTTTTAAAGTTCTTATAGTGATTTTTTTTTGCTCCGAGAGGCCATTGCAGATGTAAGATGTTTCATACAAGGTATGGACTGAACTGAATTTCTTGAACCAGTAATTTGAAATAAAATTCAGTATATTTTTTCTGACTTTTGGGTTTATATTTTTAATAAATATGTATTTTTTATTAATTTATTTTATTAAAAATAATTAGATTTTGTGTTATATTCGGTTTTATAATCTTAAAATTATTTGTTTTCAATATTTTTTAAAAATATATATATTTCTTCATCCGCCCTGGCATTAGTTTCTGACTCCACACTATATATAGCACTGCAAAAGCACTTAAACACACACATATATATATATATATAGTTTTGAATTGGAGGGTACCTAAATGATAGTGAATGTATCTCATGACTTGTACAGAAAAAATAATAAGTTAGAAGAAGTTATGTCACCTTGAATGTTCAAATTAGTAGAACTATTAAATATTTGATTGTTACATATACCCAGATAAATTGCCTATAATTAAGTTATATACATATATATATATACATATCAACTATAGAGCAACAACATCCAAATAAGAACACAAAATGAATAGTGAATTTATAACTTCTTAAAAAAAAATATCAATCATCTAATAGTTGGGGAATTACAAGTTAACAATAAGAACTCTCATTGATGAGATCGAGTAGGGTAAGGAATAGCAATAAACCGAATGCGTTTGTGAATTGTTCGAATTTGAAACTAATAAAAAAAAAGAAAAAAAAAACAAACTTAGTTAATAAATTGAATTCGAACCTAAAATATTTAATTGATTAAATCGGATATATATTTGTATACTATTAATAAATTAAACATATTAGATATTCAATAGTAATTAAAAATAAAAGACATACTAATAATTTTAAAAAGAGTATTAAAACTATAGATAAACATTATAAAATGTATATATAAGTATATTATATATGTTAAATATAGTTAGTGGGATTTATATGGCTTATAAGAAATGAGAGTCTTTAGGGTTTTTGAGTGAGCCAAAGAGAGAAACAAGGCATGGATAAAAAGATTATGGTGGTAAGAAACACTAGGGAAAGAAGAGTTCCAAGGGTTAATTCTGGTTACTGCTTGCTACCTCTGCAAACAGGCAGAGGGGAACTGCAGGCACCTTCTTTTACAGTGTCCTGCTGTCTATCAACTGTGGTGCATGGTTTACAACCGGTTCGGTATTAGCTGAGTTTGCTCGGGTTCTATTAAAGACGAGATATGGGCATGGGAGCATCCTAGTAACAGTTGTATCCTTGCTGACTTGATTCCCATAACACTTATGTAGACTGTGTGGAATGTTAAGAATAGTAAAGTGTTTGAGGGGCTTGATGACACAAAGGGTTTTGATGTCCTGAATAATAGATAGCTTAGTACCCTAAATTTTTTGCTTATGGGTCACCCTCCGTATTTTTGGTCTTTTAGGAAGATTTTTAGAATGGAGGACTAAGCTGTAAATAACTGTACGTGTTTTTTGCACTACCGGTGCTTATAGCAATACAACTTTACTACTCACTTCAAGAAAAAATAAGAAGAGTTCGAGGGTTGAGAAGAGAGAGAGCTATAATACCATTACATTTTGCCTTGGGTTGACCTCGGTTTGATATGGTAATTTGCCTTGGGATTCCAGCCTACATTTTGAATGCTTGCTATTGTCTCTTTTTGAAATTATTGGGTGTTAGTAACAAGTGATTTAATAATTTCTTCAAGAGGCATACCTTGTTTTAGAGGTGCTAGTTGTTGTTGTGGAGGTGGTCTTGGCTAATATTGTTAAAAATTGTGTCGTCTTACTCTATAGCTAAAGTTGGGATAATTACTCAAGAACCTGTTGTAATATATTCAAACATTATTTAAGAATAGAATAAGAATTGAATCTGAGCATCAGATATAAAGGGCCAATACATATAATCAGCTATCAAAAAAGATCATATCTGTGTTTGGCATATATACGGCAAATTAAACACTAAGATGAAATACAACAGCCAAATCAGACTCAGAATTTTCTTATCAGGGAGACCAGGTGATGGATGATAATGAAAGTGAAAGATGGGGTCTAACACAGATATAACCTGTTTTATCCTGTTCTTGTTGATACTGTTTCCCTGTTACTTTGGTGGAAGGAGGGATGTTGATATCTACTTGGCTCTCCACAGCTATATAATATGTATATATATGTCTCTGCTATCAAACAGCCATCAAATAAGTAAAAAGGATTATTGTTTATTTAAGAAAAGTCTTACATCACTACGAAGTGATACTGAGTAAAAAGATAATAAATTTTAATGGAGTTCAGAAGATAGGAATTTGAACAGCAAAGCAAAATCTCAAAGTACCTTCCCTTTAAGTTAATATTAATAAGTAAATGACCTTTTACCTTTCACATCTTTTTATATTTCTGGTTGTTTTGTTTTAGTATATGCAGGAAGCTAATCTTCAAGAAGAATACTGGAGAGCCAAGGTGACTAATTTTTCCTGTTATCTGTTTTATACTCCCTCCATGGCATTTGTAACCATGTTGTCAACAGTGCGCATTCCCCCCTCTGAAGCAATGACCACTTTGCATCTATAGATAATCCAACAATCAAAAGAGAGAAAATAAGAACAACAGGATGTTGGAAAACTGAAATGTGGCAATTATTGAGAAATGAGAATGATAGTTTAATAGACAAAACTTGTTTTTTCATGGTGCAGTAGACTTTGACCACTGTTTCCCTACCACTCAACCATCCAAAATGTCTTTCGTTACTGCTTAAATGTTTTGTATGAACACCTGTAAACTTCTTCTCTCATTTATCTGTTGCCTCTACACCTAGAACGTATTGTTCTTGATCTCGCCATTAGATAAAGGTAAGAGTTCCTATTTATCTAGGGAAAAACCCAGCCCCAAACCAGAATCTGCTAAAAAGAGTTCAGTTGATCCAATTTACACAGTCAACCTTCCCCCATTATCCTTAAATTTCACTAAAATTGCACTTTATAGTGCCATCTTATCTGCCTATGACTTCTAGACTTGAATACTCCACATTCCACCTTCATGATATTAGGTACTGAAGGATATGGTCTTGGATTTATCTAATGAACTCATCCACAATCAAATCAAACAGAATGGTAAACAAAGTAAGTCTCCCAATGTAGAACAGATAAGTATTTGTCCTTGACCACATTGATATACCTATAAATACTTACATTTTAGTACCCACGAATAACCTCTCCCATGAATAACCCCTCCTAAAAGTGTTTCCTGAAATCAAAAGAATTCATATACGGTCTTTCTTTTTTTTTTTTTTTTTGTATATTTGTCTCCAACAACCTCCTAAAGACGTTAGCTTCCAACATTTGATGCCTCACTCTGAACCAAACTGATTTGGGAGAATTTGTTTCAGACATTAGTCTAAATTCTTTCCTGCAGCTTCATGCTGAAATTATCTTTAAATTTCATATTAGGATTCTCAATTACCGTCAGAGAGAGTAAATGAATGTCAAAAGTGATGTATTGGTTCTCAAGCAGATAAGTCACAGATGCTACATGTAACATCAAGGACCCATAATCATTGAGGTAAAACTAAGGATGACCTAAGTAATGTTGATGATTCATTTCAAAATTCCTGTGGCAGTAATTAACATGCCAAAAGAAGGGATAGGAAATGTATAAGCATACATAATTTTCACCTAAAAAAAACTTGTAAGTTAACTGGTTTTGAAGTTTTGCCCATTTTTTATGCAAGACTGCTAGTTGAAAGTCACATCTAGGTTCTCTCGTATATGTCAAACAACATAGAACTAATCAAATGAAATAAGAAAGGCTTTGAAAAGGGAAAGAGGAAACCAACAGAAACTTGGAAATGACTCCATGTTCCACAACCCCATCAACTTTGTCAAGGCTATTGGCTACATCAGCTGCAAGTAAAACTTCTAAAAGTCACCAAAGAAAGTAAAACCATAAAAAAAATTGCAACAGACTTACATGATTGGACAACCTACCAAGGCTCTTTATCGGAGATGTAAATATCACATCAAGAATATTGTGGCCTTCTCTAGTGACCACTGGAAAGTCACCCCCAAGTGGACCTGCTTGCCCCATAGATGATCTCCTCCATACCTTCATAGACAAAAGAAAACATAAGGAACTATTACCTGACAAAGATTATTCCAGTAACAATCCCTTCATCTCATGAAACTTACTCAGAGCTGCAAATTTAGGTTTGCAAAACTGTTGGTAACATAGTTTTTCATACTGCAATTGTTCTCAAAATGTCAGAGAACAAAACAAGTCTTTGTCAGCGGATCGATTTGCTTCCTTTCTTGAAGGCTCACCAAAAAGGCTATTTTTCTCTATGCCCATTAATGTGAAATTCATTTCTATATAGAAGAGTTAAGCATTTAAAAAAAAGTAAGAAATTTGCTAGATACTTTTACTTATCATAGGAGATGAGCATGCCATCAGAAAGCCAAAAACAAAGCAATACCTCTTCACCGTCACAAAATCACGTGATTAAGAATATAGGGCATTTCTATCACGTATTTCAAAAAATAAAAAGGTAGGCCATTTCTATTATGAAATAAGAAACAGATAAATGTTCAGTTTTTGCATACGTAGCTTAGCTAAGCCTAAGAGGTGAAACATTCTGCATGAATGAATATAATTATAGGCAATAAGGAACCTCTAGGTAGTTGTAACAAAATGCCTTCAGATTCTACTAAAGAATATTTATGTATCAAAAAAATAATAATTGATTGCAAATAGCATACCTCTGCGTCCCCCAGAAACAGGTCATCAATCTCTTCAGCAGTTTCCATCCAGTTAAGCTGAAATATGTATTTGATTGCCAATCAGTTCTTTATCCAAGTCTCATAACTCATGCTCCGCAAGTTTATATATAAGTGCCTACCGACTGAATTAGGATAGGAATTGAACCATCTAGACCACCTTTGTACTGATTTTCCATGATCATGAAGACAAGCTGATTAGCTGCATTTAAAATGGACTGCAAATGAAAACTTTTCAGTGCAATCTCTTTTTCTTTTTAAATTCCAAGGTATTTAGAGTACTAATATCCATAGCATCAAAACTGGGCAGACAGCAAACCAACTAAAAGCATAATCACTAGTTCATTGGTCCAACCAATGATTAACAGTAAAATCATTCTGCTCGCAGTAATAATTAAAATTATTCAATATTTTTATAAGAATAAGTATATAAAAACCAAAAAGAGCCATTTTTAATTTGCATTGAAGGCATTTCTTCTTGACGCATTTTTTCTTTTAAATTTTTCTACAACTGAAAGAGAGGCAGTGCTGGTTGCTTCTTATGAGCTGCGTACTTCCAAGGAGAAACCCTTTCCTCATTGAGCAACTTGGTTGACTCATCTTTCAGCTTTTGTTATTTAGATTCTTATTTGATTCCCCTATTTTATTTCATGTCTCTTTAATTTTGACATCTAATAACTACCCTTCCTTAATTATTAGCTGATTGTTGGAAGTCAGATGCGATTTCTTACATCATAGAGTTTCAACTACCAAGAGATAAGAAACAGTTGGAGACCAGATTATTCTCCATCCAACAGATCAGCTCTGGGAAGAACATATAAACAAGGCTCCAAGGGGATAACACCCAGGTACAAAGGATAAGTTATTCAATTATCTCTGGTACTGTGAAGAAAATATAGATTAGTTATGAAGACTTAAATTATTGTTAAGCATCAATTTTCAATTACAAAAGGTTCAGTTAAAACCAGCAAGTTCTACCAGTATAACTGCTTTCTTACAACAACTAGTTCTTCACGTGAACCAGTTTGGTCTGGCCTCTAGTACGCCAGTTTAACCAGCTAGTCAGGTTGGCCCTCGAAGAATAAGTTATTGACATTAGAAACCACAGTAAATAATTGGATAGTAGAAAAGAAATGATCTGTGCTTGAACTCTAGAACCCATAAAAACTGTAAGTAAGAAAATAAATTCACCTTCTCTTGGAGTATGGACTCTTCAGCCTGTGATATTTGTCTCCCAATGATTGCAAGCAACGTTCCTTCTTCGATAACATCAGCATCATCAAATGCAAAATCAATCTACAAGAGTACGAGTAAAAATATTGCTGCAATGTCCCAAACAATATCATTTTGACATCACACTACTGATCCAGATTTTATAAGACTAGCTATGCCCAAACATAACTGGAGTAAGAGTCTGATAGAATCCATAAAATGCAAGTGGAATTTGCAGAAAAGTTACCTGGGAATTAGTCTCAGCAACAACAGAAGAATGATCTCAGATTCGAGAGTCCTATCATCTCTTCCTCTTACAATACTCTTCTCAGATATTTTTTCCTGCCTCCCCTCCTCTTTTTTCGCCTCCCCTTTATTCCCCTAAGTCCTAAATAACATTTGTTTTTTCTGTTTCTTGTCTGCCAATTACAAGAACACCCCTCTCCCTAGCATAGCTGGCATAATTAGCTTGGCAACTCACCTTTCTCTCTTTTTCCTTTCCTCTTAAATACAAACTTAACCAGGTTTCTATCAATACTCTTCATGAGGTTTTTTTTAACTAGAAACTAACATAGTCCTATAACAAAGCAGAATATTACACTTGTTGTTTTTACTTCAGAATCACCAATATATGCTTCCCCACATAAGCATGCTATTAGAACCACATCGAAACGAAGGAAAGAAAGAAAGAGAGAAACGCACAGAAACAAGTAAAAGGGGATATTGATTAGGCAATAGAAAATATGTGCCGTACTTCAGAAGTATCTTGATAGTGTCCCAGTGGTATTCCTGCCTTTGCTGCTTCACTTGCACTTCTACAGACCTACATAAAAAATAAAGTCAACTTACACATGCTAAAGAAAAATGAATATGATGTGGTTTACATCAAACAAACTACAGAAAGAAAAATGTGATAATATGCACAAAGCAATCAAGAACGCAGAAAAGATCTCATGAAAAAGAAATACCGAGCCAACGCTTTTCCTATAGCCTCTAGAATAGAGACTGGTTCCAAATTTCAAAAAAAAAAAGCACTAGGACAGCTGTATTGAATAGAAGAGTTCCAGACTAAACTATTTGTTATGAAGATTTAATCCATTTTATAAACTAACAATAGCTAAGTTATGTATCTGATGAAATATCAATGTTGAATGAGGTGGAGAAGTTAGAACGCACATAACAATTAATGATAATCAGCTGTTCTCAATTTAAACCATTAAGGTTACACAGACAATGAAGCTAGCTGCTGTGCAAGATCTGGGTAACTTGATGAGAAAATTCCAGGAATCAGTTCAGTTCCTTCCAGTATAGCTATTAGTTAATCTAAAGAGCAAAAGAACTTAATTGAGTGGTTACAAGAAATATGAAGATAGAAAGCCAGATGAGAGTGCCAGAATCACTAAAATTAGTTGAAAGAATACAAACTCACATTGGTATTCCTACTATATCTTTTAGGACACCTGCACGGAGTTGTTGACCCAAATATTGTATGGCCATATCAGAAGCTTGACCAGATCCTAACCCAACAATCATTCCACTTTTTATATATGTATCTACCTATAAATCAAAATAACAGAATTGTAAATCATTGTCCATATTACTTTTTACACAAGAATAGTAAAACAATATAGGCATAAAAAGAAAAGTGTATTTTTCCCACCTGTCAAGTGCCTCACATTACAACCAAACCAATTTTCAATTAATCCATTTTCTTAATGACTCCCATTCCTTAACATATACACCATATGTAGATTAGAATATTACCCAAAATAACAAATTACCTCAAAGATTTTCTCTAAAAGAAGATTTTGTTCCAAAAATGTAATCTTTATTTTGGAAGAGAAAGAAAATAGTATTAAAAGGCTCAAAGGGGTATAACCCATTTAGAAACTGCATACAACTCTCACAAAAAGTAGAGATCAATGAGATCAAGAAAATCAACCCCATCATGGAATGACCTCAAGCAAAATATGAAGGTCCTAAGCCAATAATCCTGGATAGAAGCAAAGGGAGAGCAGAAATTTTCAGAAGTTCCATTTTGCCTCTATTTCTTCTAAATGACCCAAAAGATCGCACAGGAGATTATGGGTAAAAACGTCCTTCTAGCACTTCAACACCTTCCATGCTCATAATTCATCCTTGATAAATCACTTACAACTTAACCAGGTTAAAGAGGTTGAGAACAAGATCCCAAAAAGCCTTCTAGTTTCAGGGTACACCAAAGAAGAAGTTGACTTGCGGATTTGTATCACCACGGCACAAGAAACACCAGATTACTGAAATTCTACCTCTCTTCCTGAGGTTTTTGATAGTTAGGACCCTCTCCCATGCTGCCTCTCATGTGAAGAAAACAATTTTGGGTGTTGTCTTCGTCTTCCACACTTGCTTCCAAGGGAAAACAATCCAAGACCTTGTCAAGCATCGCAGACAAAATCTTTTTATTTTGTTACTCACCATGTTTTTGGTAACAAAACATCTATTTGCTAACTATATAGCTATAGGTCCGATTCCCTTGTAATAGAAACCAAAAGAGTTTAAGAGAATATAAGTGCTGGTCCAAATGCCAAGAGACTAGCAACCTAAACCCAAGTTTAAGAAAATGTCCCAAAGCATTGATTAATGAGGATAATGAATTTAATGAATTCAATGAATTGGTTTTCAGTATTTGGACTATGATCTATGGCTTTATGGGGTTGAATTGGGTTACTGCTGGATCTATAAGAGAGAAGGTTTGGGCTTGGACGGGTTTATGTAACAAGAGGCCGGCCTCACCTTCTCCTCATTCCTATATCTATCCTCTGGGTGGTGTGGAAGGAAAGAAATGCTAGAGTTTTTGATGGGGTTGAGAGGGATTTTGTTAATATTAGGGATAGATGACTTCACACTTTTGGGTCATGACGTTAATGGTTTAGATGATTTTGGGAATGTCATTAACTATTTGATTGATATGTAAATTCGTTTGTATACGGGTGGTACTCTCTTGGTACCTTTGTTAATAATACACTTCTATACACTTTTATTTCAAAAAAAAAAAGTGAGGATAATGAATTAGAACAATAAACAGAAAATTTTTCCTAAAAGGAATCATGTAAATGGACCAAGGACTAAGAACAAATAGTAGCAGAATTAGTGAAAAGCGGCAATTAAAACTAAAAGCTAATAGGATGAAATATCTTGGAGTGGCCTGAAAGCTATCTACAGGTGCCACTGAGAGGCAACTCTTGTAATGACTCTTTTGGAATGTTGTAAAGAGGAACAAGGAAGCTCTCTAAATATTTAAAGAGTTGGAAAGAAGTATTTTTCTCCTTATGGATGCCTCTTTTATGCAGGAATATCTAGTGTTCCCTTCTACTTCATGTTCTTACTTAAGAAT